TTGAGTTTCTAAAATGTAATTTAGTAGGAAATAATGGTTAGAAATGGCTTAACTCAACCCTCAGTCAAGTGTTCTGGCTTGAAAATGCAGATAGTGGATAGTGCAAAAAATATGTCCATTCCCTAGAAATGTCAAATGTGGTCATACTAACATTCATTTGTCTCTCTTTAGGGAGCGGTTGAGTGATCAGAGAGGACAGAAAATCCCTGCATGTGAAGTATGTGGGAAAACCTTTATGCATTTCTCTTCCCTGAAACTACATTTAAGACGACACAGTGGTGTGAAACCCTATGAATGTAAAGAGTGTGGTAAGGCCTTCAGTTGCCCCACATACTTCCGAGAACATGTGCGAATGCACACTGGCGAGAAGCCCTATGAATGTAAGTACTGTTGGAGAGCCTTCAGTTTTTACTCATCCCTGCAAGAGCACGAGAGGACGCACACTGGAGAGAAACCCTATAAGTGTAAGCAGTGTGGAAAGGCCTTCACCTGTTATTCTTCCCTCCACGGACATGAGAAAACACACAATGAACAGAAAACTTACGAATGTAAGCAATGTGACAAAACTTTCAGTTGTCCAAAGTATTTTAGAATACATGTGAAAATGCACAGTGGGGAGAAACCCAATGAATGTAAGCAGTGTGGCAAAGTGTTCATTTGCCCCAAATATTTTCGGAAGCATGTGAAAATGCACAGTGGGGAGAAGCCCTATGAATGTAAGGAATGTGGGAAAGCCTTCATGGTCCTCTCTTATTTGGAAAGCCATGTGAGAACGCACACTGGTGAGAAGCCCTTTGAATGTAAGCAATGTGGGAAAGCATTCAATTGGCCCACCTCCTTACAAGCACATATGAGAACGCACTCAGATGAGAAACCCTATGAATGTAAGCAGTGTGGGAAGTCCTACAAGTGTTCCAAATACTTTGAAATACATGTCAGAATGCACAGTGGAGAGACACCCTATGTGTGTAAGGAGTGTGGAAAAGCCTACAGTTTTCCCTCATCCCTTCGAGAACATATGAGAACCCACAATAGCAAGAAAATTTATGAATGTAAGCACTGTGGTGAAACTTTTAATTGTTCTAAGTCTTATCGTGTACATGTGAAAATGCACAGTGGAGAGAAGCCGTATATATGTCAGGCATGTGGAAAAGCCTTTGGTTTTCCCTCATCCCTCCGGGAACATATGAGAACACACACTGGAGAAAAACTCTATGATATCAGAAAGAAACCCTATGAATGTAAGCAGTGTGGGAAAGCCTTCATGTTCCCCTCATGCTTTCAAAGACATCAGCGATCACATAGTAAAGAAAAGCCCTATGAATGTATGCAATGTGGGAAAGCCTACAAATGCCTCGAATCCCTTCAAGGACACCTGAAGAAACACACTGGAGAGCAACCCTTAGAGAAAACGTAGGCACGCTTTCATCCATTTATAAAATCTTGTGCACACAAGCAAACACGCTGAGGGGAGTCCTTCTGAGGGAAAAATGATGGGAAAACTTCCAATTTAGCTGTTCCCTAACCTTACACATGAATTCAGAACAAGGAGGGCGTCTTTTATACATATGTTTTTGCCATTGTAAACACTTCATCCTTCATAGTAATCTCTTTGTGTATTAGTTTCTAGTTTATGTTCCTGATATAAGCATCTAAGATAATGTCCCTCTATGTTCTG